ACACAGCTATTCTATAAATGCCAGGGCTCCTGATTTCCAGGTTTCTAAAAAAGAACGGAGGTAAAACAGATGCCTTGACTGTTTTAGAAGATCTTTTTGAATGTTTTATGACTGCCTGCCTATTTGAATATTGGTGAAGTGATAAATAATAAATTGACATCAAAAAGCACTAATGAAAAGTTTCTCTTTTTTCTTTCTTTGTTATATTATTAATGCCTGATGTACCAGCTGTTGCTTTTCTTTTTAGCTACTCCATGAAATTTGCTACTGTTCCAATTGAACTGGCATGAATTTAAAAGTTTCCATTCCCGGGTACCAGCTGTGGAGGAAGCAATTGCTTTTCAACACCAAGCAAATGGTTCTCTAAGCTCTGGGTTGATGGCTGTGTTCTGGTGAGCCCCGAAAGGTGCCCACAGGAGCTGGTGTGTGTGTTCAGGATTTTTCCTTCCACTCCCAATTAGGAAGAGGTTTTGACTAGCCGAACTCTGTTTGAGTTTACTCTTTCCACTTGCTGACCAAATGACTGAACTCATTTAGAATTTACTTCTCCAGGATTTTACCCTGGTTCATCTTTGCTACAAATTTAATCGTGCAGAAACGCAAAGGGTCAGTGGGAAGAATCTAGTATCTCCCCAAATATATCCCAGTGTCTGCAGGTGTGTCAGGATGGACATGAGTGAAGTAGGAAATCAGGGTTTCCTGCATGGAGAGTAGTGGGGCCATCCCGTGGGAGTCTCCAGACTTCCACGCCTGCGACCTCTAAAGCTGCTGGCCATCTCCCCACCCTGATGAGCTCTGCCCTCAAGAACTTCCTAAGGACCCTGATAATTCAGGGGAATAGGAATCAAAGAGCCCTGCCCAAAAGCTGGCATAGCAAGCTGGGTGATGTTAACTAGCTCCCTTCCCCACTGTGAGCCTCAGTTTCCCACTGTCTAAAATGGGGAGGTTTGATTAGACATCCTCTAAATTCTCTTCCAGCTGATTTTCTAAGACTCTGAGTGCCTCTGACTTCAGCCTCTCCACCCTTCTTTGGGTCCAGTACACTTTCTAGCCCAACTGGAAGCTCCCCAAGGGCAGGAGTCTTTGTTTTCTTTGCTGCTGTATCCTAAGTGCCAAGAAATTTGCTACTCCAAGTGTGCTCCCAGGCCCAGTGTTTTCATCCTGGGATGAAAGGCAGATTCTCAGGCTGTGAGCTGGTTAGAAATGCAGACTCTCAGGCTCCACCCCAGACCTACTGACTCACTATTTGTATTTGAATAAGATTCGCAAGCCATTCAATGCATCGGCCTAGAATAGCCCCCGTTATAATAAATATTCATTTTGTTTTGAATAAACTGAACGTATGGCTGAAATTGCATCACATTTACTCTGGTGAATAGCTTTCCAACATTGCCCCCGCTGTTCTGTGTGGAGTACAGAAGGCAAAGGATGAAAAAAAAAAGAAGGGCTTCCCTGGTGGCACAGTGGCTGAGAGTCTGCCTGCCGATGCAGGGGACACGGGTTCATGCCCCGGTCCGGGAAGATCCCACATGCCGTGGAGCGGCTGGGCCTGTGAGCCTGTGCTCCGCAACGGGAGAGGCCACAACAGTGAGAGGCCCGCGTACCACGAAAAAAAAAGAAAAAGAAAAAGGAAAACAGCTATAAGTGTACAGGAAAAGTGATGGAGAGGGAGCCTGTGGGTGTGAGGCAGGGCTTCTCACCCTGGGCACTAGTGACATTCTGGGCCACAGAATTCTTTGCTGGGAGGGGCTGTCGTGTGCCTTGTAGGGTGCCTAGCAATATCCCTGGCCTCTGTTCATTAGCTGGTAATAACACCTGCCCATTGTAACCACAAAAAATGCCCCCAGTCATTGCCAAATGTCCCCTGGGCACAAAATAATCACCAGGCCCACTAGTTTAAGAGTATGGCTGAGCAGGGAGGATATGTATATGAGGAAGGGGTCTCTGTTTCCCAAGAGGGAAAATTAGGAAGCCGCAGCTTGATTTTACAAAGGACTAGTTTGGGGGCGGGGGGGGATCCCTACCTCTCATGAAGTCATGTTTATTCTGGGGGACACAGTGCTGTAGACAGTAGGAATTAGATGCTACATCCTTGACTCAGAGGCACCCCAGCTTCAGCCTCCCTCTACTCCCAGGGTTCAGAGTGCTTTTCTCTTCCATGTTTCACAGGCTGAGGCCTCCAACCTGATGGTCAGGGCCTGACAAGTGTAGACTCCTGATGAGTGGTAGCTAGTAGTACTGTGATTATAATTATGATTCAAAATTCAGGATTCATTTACTCAAATCCTTTTACTGAGGACCTCTCCTATGCCAGGCACCAGACTAAACAGTAGGAAAACGAACAATGGTGAGCAAAATGGACACAGTCTCTCCCCTCAAGAAGCTTACAGTCCAGGGTGGAGATGGCTAGGAATCAACTATTCACGCCACTAAACATGATTGCAAAGCGTGTTGAGGGCTCTGTTGGGCAAACACACCACGTGATATGCCAGCCAGAGACAGCAGGTTCCCTGTGAAGTAAGGAAACTTAAGCTCTAGCCCCTCGCTCACCAGGCCCTTCTCAACACTCTGAGGGGAACTTAATTATTTAGGTATCTAATTTCACATTCATAATTGTTATTCTTTTTCTGGAAAGGGACCTTCAAGATTGTACAAAGTTTAGGCTCCGTAAGGCATCAGGGATTCACCCTGATGACAGAGTATAGACAGCAGGGAAGAAAGGATATATTTGAGACCTGAAAGATGAATCCACGAGACTTGGGGATGGATGGAGGCAACTGGCTTTCAGGCAGAATGAACAGCAGGTACAAAGGCCTTGTGGCAGGAGAGGGCAAAATAGCATGACCAGCTAGATTCATCATCACCTCCTTAAGGAGGGGTTGACCATTACCGTGTGCACCTGATAGCAGGCATCTTGGCACGCCACCATCTATCTCCCTGTCCAGCCTTTCCATGGGCTCAGGGCACCAGGCCCAGCTAGGTTGGAGGAGATGCCTTCATCTGTCTGATTCATGGCTGTATCTTGCGGCTCCCACTGGGCAAAACATTCATTTCTTAGCCTTTACACACATTGTCCCCTAAAATAAAACAGCACAAAAAAACCCTACCATATGTGTGTGTGTGTATGTGTGTGTATATATATATATATATATATATATATATGTATATACTTATACATATATATAAATTTTTATACTCTCGTTTTGTCCCATTGATTCATGTAACCTCCCTTTTTTTAGTATCAGAAGAGAAAATATGTATCACTGCTGTGCTCCTGATTTACTGCATTGACACCGACCTGCGTACCTGATTTCACATTCTTCTCCATTCCCTCGGGCCTTCTTTGCATCTAGTTGGCCAGGGTGTTTTGTTTATTTTGCAAGAACAGATAAAACAGTGGTTTGGGCTCCTGGGTAAATAGAATTTCCAACCTTAAATAAAGGTTCTCCTGTGATAGCACACGCTGCACAAATGAGCGGAGCTCTAGATCCCGGCCTGATGAGGAAAGGATTTTTCATTTACAGTACTGTCTGTATCACTTGGGACAGAATGATGTGAAATCCCATGTTAAACAGATAGTGCTCTGGATTTGCAAGGCACATGTGGTAACTGAGTTAATTAATACGCGAATATGAATTTCTTCTACCCGTCCTCACACTTCCTGTGCTAACAGTGTTTCTACCTTCACTTTTTACAAGGGTCTCCATGCATAGACTGTGTTCCATTTCAGTCATGAAGTTATTTTCTTGGACCAAAGCTCAACATGTTAGATACACGTGTGTGTGTAACTCTTAATCCATCATAATGCACCTAGGCACACACCTCAGAATATTTTAGAATTGTTAAAATAATCCCCAAAAGACTAGCTCATGGCACTATAAGGGACCCTAAAGTTCATCTGGTTGGTCCCACCTTTCCCAAATTATCAGAACGCTAAAATCCCACAAAGGTATGGAAATATCGCTATTAGAAACAATAGTATTGTGTTTTGCAGTTAAGTTTAGGGAGCCCTACCTAACTTTCTTCCTCCTGTTGGAAATTCACAATGAGTGTTTGCATGCCTTGTCAGTCTCACTTT